AAGCCCTTTTAGAACCGGTTGTCCCGGTTCTAAAAGGGCCTCTAAATTTAACAAAAGCTCCAGCAGCTCCCTGCCCTGCTCCCGGCCCCAGCTCACCTGGCTCCGGCTCCGCCTCTGCCTCCTCCCCTGAAGGCTCCCCCTCCCGGCGTCCCGCGAATCAGCTGTTCGCGTGGGAAGCCTGAGAGAGCTGAGAAGGAAGCAGCAGCTTCCTGCAGGTGAGCTGGGGCAGGGGGCGCGAGGAGGGCTCCAGGAGCCGCGCGGCTCCGGGTGGCCCCGGCCCTGACTTCGGCCCGGACCCTGACTCCGGGCCATACCCAACTCTGGCCTGGCCCCCAACTCCGGGCCAGCCCCCGACTCCGGCCTGGGCTCCGGCTCTGGGCCAGCCCGCGATTCCGGCCTGGGCTCCGGCTCCGGGCCAGCCCCCGACTTCGGCCTGGCCCCCGGCTCCGGCCTGGCTCCCGGCCCCGACTCCGGGCCAGCCCCTGCCTTCGGGCCGGCCAGCGGATCCGGGCCAGCCCCTGGTTCCAGCCCCCGGCCCCAACTCCGGGCTGACTCCAGCCCGGCCCCTGACTCTGGGCCGGCTCCGACTTCGGGCCGGCTCCGGCCTGGCCCCCGGCTCCTGGCTGGCCCCTGACTCCGGCCCGGCCCCTGACTCTGGGCCAGCCCCCACCTCTGGGCTAGCCCCCACCTCTGGGCTGGCCCCCGGCTCCAGCCCCCGGCCCCGACTCCGGGCTGGGCCCCGACTCCGGGCCGGCCAGCGGCTCCGGCCTGGGCCCCAACTCCAGGTCGGCGCCCGTGGCTCCCGGCCCCAACTCCGGATGGCACAGCCCCCTGGGGGGCTGGATTAGGGTCGGGACTTGGGGCGGTCAGATGGCAGGGAAAAGGGGAATTGAATGGGGGCAAGGGTCCTGGGGGGGCAGTCAGGAAGGAAGGGGTGTTGGATGGGGCGGTGGGGGGCAGTCAGGGGCAGGGGTTCCAGGGGCAGTTGGGACAGAGAGAAGGGGTGGTTGGATGGGGCCGGGGCCCCCCGGGGCCATCGGGAATGAGAGGAGGGGTTGGATGGGGCGGCAGGGGGCAGTTAGGGGACAGGGAAGGGGGGTGGATGGGGCAGGGGTCCTGGGGGTGGGGTGTCAAGGAACGTGGGGGGTTGGATGCGGCACGACCCCCTCGTGGGGTGAGGAGGAGGGAACCGGTTGTTAATATTTTGGCAGCTCATCACTGCAGCAGCAACTAGGGTGACCAGATGTCCCGATTTTATAGGGACAGTCCCATTTCAGGGGCTTTCTCTTCTACAGGTACCTATTACACCCCATCCCCTGTCCCGATTTTTCACACTTGCCCTCTGGTCACTCTAGCAGCAACGGAGCAGCAGTGACTTCCTTCCCCTTAAAGAAAATCCTTCAGCCAACAGCAGCCAGGGAACAGCTGGGCTGGGGAAATCACAGCTGTGGATCTGCTTTACTCACCTCAGTCGCAACATTATCTCCATGAGCCACGTTGTTCAAGTCCTGCCACATCATTTCCAGAGAACTAGCTACATCCCCAGCAGCTTCTCCAGCTATCTTCACGGCTTCCCCACCACACTTGATTTTCCTCTTCTCAGGTGGCTTCTTCCAGGCTCCCAGATGTCCTCCCCCCCGCCCCCCAATGGACGAGTGGCCTGAGCCCCTTGGGGCCCGCAGTTCTCTGTTTACCCCGTACCTGGGCAAGGCAGGAGACCCAATGCCAGCTGCCCTCAGCCAAAAGGCCCCAGCCTGACCTGGGGGCAGGCGTTCCTGGACTCCAGCAAATTCAGGGCTGGGGGCAGGGCGGCTTCACCATCGTTCGGGGCCAGGTCTCTCCACCGACCCCGCCTGCCATCCCTGTGCACCTCCCCCGAGCATCACTGCCCACTGCAGCTCCACGCTGCGCTCCCTGGCCGGCCGCTGCTGCTGCTGGCTACAAGGGAGCAGTGCCAGGGCCAGGCTGAGGTGGCTGCTACGGCTGTGGAGGGAGAAGGCGCATGGCAGCCCCATCCCCCCAGTAGGTGACTCCAAGTCGACTCCGGGTGGGGGGCTTATCCTGGCTGGACCTCCTGAGCAGCAATCTGGGGGGGCTTGGGTGAGTGTCGTGCCAGGAGGAGAGAGGAGGGGGACTGCTCCCCCAGAGCTGGTGTGGAGAGGGTTGTGGGGAGTCCTCTCTGACCCCCAGCCCTGGGGCAGCCTGCCTGCTGCACCCCAAACTCCTCATCCATGGCCCAGCCTCATGCCCCCTCCAACACCCCAACTCTCTGTCCCAGCCCAGAGCCCAAACCAAGCACCCAAACTCCCTGCCAGAGCCCACACCCAGTAGCCAGCACCCCAACCCCCCTCCTGCATCCCAATCCCCTGCCCCAGCCCACTGTCTGCACATAGTACCCAAACTCCCTCCCAGAGCCTGCACCCCTCCCAGACCCAAACTCCCTCCCAGAGCCTTAGGCAGTTGGGGGGTGGGGGGCAACTGGACCTGTTCTGGGCATCACCAAAAATTATACACCCCTGCTTGGGGGAGAGAGGAGCTCCACACTCCATTAAGCCCTTGGTTTCTCCCCTGAGACTGATGACAAGGGGGTCAATCAGCACAGAGGTTCATGGAATATTAGGGTTGGAAGGGACCTCAGGAGGTCATCTAGTCCAACCCCCTGCTCAAAGCAGGACCAATCCCCAACTATTTTTTTGCCCCAGATTGCCCCCTCAAGGGTTGAACTCACACCCCTCGGTTTAGCAGGCCAATGCTCAAACCACTGAGCTATCACTCCCCCAAGTAACATCAAGGAGTCCTCCAAAGAGATCTTGGGGAATAGCTCATTGCCTGACCAGGGACTTGAACCCTGGACCCTCAGATTAAAAGTCTGATGTTCAACCCACTGAACTAGCCAGGCTGACTAGTTACTAGCTACGTTTATGTATGACGGGAGACCTGCCCCACTAGGGACCAGGCCGAGATCCCGGTACATTCCAACCTGGCCCCTGAGCAACCACATACGGACTTTCAGCCACTGTCCACATAGGTGCGATTTGGCTTATTAAACCTGAGCCAACCAGCTGTGGGAGCTGCTGGGGAGGAAGCAACTTCACCAGCTTAGAATCCAAACAGACTCTTTTTTACTGTATTTCCCCACCAGATCAGGAGCAGGGACTGGCAGAGATTGTGGGTGAGGGAGAGATGTTTGTTTCTCTGTTTCTCATCTCTTCCTCCCAAGGGGTCTGATTAGAAGCAGCGGTCACAGGTGGAGAAGTTTCTCTAGGGAACACAAACAGACCAGGAGAGGGGAAGGGCTGTGGGCAGCTGGGCCCTGAACACACAACATGACTGGGCATTCAGAGGCAGCCTGAGCATTGTAGATCAGGCCTGAGGAAAATAATCTATTTTCAATCTCACCATGTTCTCGATTCCTGTCCACTGTGATCAGCTGAATCTGCACAGGACTGGCCCAGTGATTGTGGGGAGGGTCAGTCAGAGGTTTATTAGACAAACTTTACTGATGTATTGTCCCTGCATGTATCTTTGTCTTTATCCTTCTGTGATGGAGTGTGTATACCCCATGCTAGGCAGGAAAGAGTTAACCCAACACTATGGATGGTGGAAGTCGCACCCCTCACACCATGCTGGCTATGTGCCAAGTGCTGCCTCAATGTAAAAGGGAGTGGCCCAGCTCATTCGAGGCTGACCACTGAGGAGGGAGGACATGTGGCGGAGGATCCTGCCCAGGAGTGGACTCAGAATCCTAGGGAGCTACCTTCACTGAAGAGCTCGGAGACCCCGATGACATACGGACCCCGGCTTCAGGGGACACGGTAGGAAGTGGCCCAGGGAGGTGGTGTGAGTGGTATCTCCCACCCGAGGAAGGCCAGCGTGTTGTGGTAGGACCCCTGCTGACTGGAGGGTGACCGCACTCACTGCTGACTGGCCCTTGGGCCAGGACCCGGTGGAGCAGGGAGGGCTCAGGGACTGCCCCCTATCCCGGCAGTCACCTCCCCATCCCCCGGCCACTGGGTCATGCAGCTCTCAGCCTAGGGATAGTTGGGTAGATTGTAACAGCGGTAGCATCACAACTATGCCCTGCCCCAAAAGGGGATGGGGTTTGCATACACCGTGACACCTCCTTTCCCAGGCTCCTAATGCAGACAAAAAGTCTGGTCTGGTGGTTTAACTCTTCACTTGGAAGACCCAGGTTCAATTCCCTGCTCTATAACAGTCTTCCTGCCTGGCTTCAGGCCATCACTGCTCTGCTCTGGGTGTTCCTCTCTTTGAAATGGGGTCACAGCACTTCACCACCTCATAGCAATGTTGTGAGGCTAAACACATGGTACAGGGATGGGAGGCAGATAAGGACCTTCAATAGTCAGAAGTGCAGCCGTTTCTTTTCCACATCAAATCACATTGGGGTTGCCACAAACTCATGATTTCAACTTGAGTCTTTCAGTACCCGGTGTGTTTCCTAAATCCCCAGCTCCTGGAATCCTGTGATGCCATGAGTATCTCAGCTCTCATTTGAATAAAATGGGAAGCTTCTTGGGTGCATGGAATAGTAGAAACAGTTGAGAACATGACCAGAGTTAAACTTCATCACTCAGAAACAAAAGAAACAGTTACGTTTTCTGGCCTGAGTTCTCCAGCTAAGGTCTAAGAACCTAAATATAAAAACAAACATTTCCCTTTATCTTTTTAGATAAAGATTAAGATCTTTCCCCTGCTTCTGCAGGCTCAGCATCACAGGGGGACACGGATGCCCCTGTCAAATCCCACTGACCCTCCACACAAGCTAAAGGGCTGATTGCAGGACCAGAGCCCTAGTGGTACTTTTTTCACTAAAGCCTCCAGGGCTGAAATTCACAATGGGCTTATTCCTGCTTAACCAACAGCACGAGTCAGTTCCAGGAAGGGAAACACCCAGTTGTTGCTGCAGCCTGCAGGTGGGGCATAGTGTGAACTCAGAAAATTGAAACATACATTGTTACCCTGTTCCACTGCCCAGAGAGAGTCATGGCTGCAGAGAACCCCGTGGAAAGTCTCCAGGAGGAAGCTACATGTCCCGTCTGTCTGGAGTATTTCACAGAACCTGTCACTCTGGAGTGTGGGCACAATTTCTGCCGAGCCTGCATCAGCCAGTGCTGGGAGGGATCCGATACAGCCACCTCCTGCCCTCAGTGCAGAGAAACTGTGCAACAGAGAAACCTCAGGCCCAACAGGCAGCTGGCAAATGTTGTAGAAATCGCCAAGCGGCTGAGTTTACAGGCGGCAAAGGGAGCAGGAGGGGACGGGGTGTGTGGGGAACACCAGGAGACTCTGAAACTGTTCTGCGAAGAGGATCAAACCCCCATCTGTGTGATCTGCAGAGAGTCCCGGGCTCACCGTGCTCACACTGTGGCTCCCATACAGGAGGCTGCCCAGGAGTACAAGGTACTGAATTGCTGTCCAGTCTAATGGGTAATAACTTAGGCTTTTAATTACAGGTTAGTGGCATCACAAGTTGCCCGAGACAGGTGTAACTGTGTCATTCAGCTGTGTGTAGCCTTCATTGCATGAAAGATGCTGTACAAATTAATGATACTCCAGCCTGGCAAGAAAGGCAACAGAGGAGGATTTTAAATTTGTCTGATATGGGAAAGTTTTCTCTGAGCAGCTAAATCTTTTCAAATCCAGCTTCCACCAGTGAACTATGGGAACCTTCTATAGACTGGAAGTTGTTAAATGATCAGTGAGGTTTGACTCACAAGAGCTGCCGGTCAGTCTATGTGAGAGTGCTGCATTCAGACTGGCGAAGGGGGAGTTACAAGCTATGGCTGTTATTACTGATTTATCATAGAGTTTATAATTGTTATTTGCATCCCAGCAGCCCCTACAGACCCCAGATGAGATCAGACCTCGATTGTAGGGGGCCCTGCACAAAACCCAGTGAGGGACAATCCCTACCCTGAGCCATTCACAGTCTAACTGGACAAGAGAGACAAAAGGTGGAAGGAGAAACCGAGGCAGAGTGAGGGGAAGTGACTTGTCCAAGGTCATTTAGTGGGTCAGTGGCAGAACTGGGTATAAACCACTTTTCCAAGGCCCGGTCCAGCATCCTAACCACTAGGCTACGCTGCCCCACTCAGCAGCACTGAGCAGTGATGAAGTGCGAACAGTAGGAGGAAAAGACTCCTTGATAAAGGCCCCAGGCTCAGCAGGGAGAGTAAGTTTCCCACTGGGATTCTGAACTCCTGTGTTGCTCCATGAAGGGTTAAACTCAGATGCTGCCGGCCTGCGCTAGAGGAGATCACTGGGCTAAACGCCGTGTGGACCCCAAGCATCTTGAGTCCACACACAAAAGGGCTCCAGACAGCTCAGGTTCATGCCAAGTACCACTGGGATTTCACTGGATTGTAGCAAAACTAACCACAGGCTGGAGCTGACCAGTGTCAGTCTGAACTGTTCTAGTGTGTACGTGGGCAAGGACCAGCCAGAGTGGTTCCTTTAGTCCCATAATGCAGCTTATGCAAATCTCTCAGAATCCACTGCTTCCGGGACCTTTGCTGGGGACGGTGGGGTAGCTACCTAGAGGCCATTGCCACGGAAAGGGGCTAGGACAGCGCTAGGGCAAACCCCAGCTGTTCCTAACACAAATCAACACATCTAATGGGGTTTGCCCTAGGCCTTAGATCAGTGTCCAACCCTTCCCATCCCCAGGGGTACAGGGCTGAGAGTTAATGGAGTTGGGTTCTTTTGAGCATTGCAACCTATATGGCTGCCCCGGAGGCTTCTGGGATTGATATAACTGTTTCTTAAATATTCACCACCATGTGACACCAGTTTCCTGCCAGTTTAAATCAATGGAGAAAGTGGACGTAATAACTCAACTCTGAATATAAAACACTCCCAGTTTCCATTAATAAGGTTTCATTTCCTTGGTGTCTCTGATGTTCTACATCTAGAAGAACCCACTGTTGTACACAATGTTGTTGTAACTGTGTTGGTCCCGGGATATTAGAAAGACAAGGTAGGTGAAGTAATATCTGCTCATGGCCAGCTTCTGTGGGTGAAAGACAAGCTTTCAAGCTTACACAGAGCTCAGGTCTAGGAAAGAGTATGTTCCCCAGAGCTGAGCTCTGTGTAAGCTGGAAGGCTTGCCTCTCTCACCAACAGGAGTTGGGCCAATAGAAGATGTTACCTCCCCCACCTAGTCTAGCTAGAAAGACTGACATATCTTGCATTTTAGGTGGGAAAACGCCTCCTACAAACAGACAGTCAGCCTCAAAATAAACCCACTAAATTATTTCTGTTTGTCAGGGAAAAATCCAGGCCCATTTGCAGACCCTGAAGGAAGAGAGAGAAAAGCTGCTGGGATTTAAAGAGGCTGTAACGAAGAGAAGCCAGGAGTATCTGGTAGGTGGCTGTTGTCCTTCACCTGCTGGGACATGGAGGTGGGAGGGTTATTTGTTGGTAGAGTCCTCTATGGCCTTGGTGAATGTGGGCTTGTGTGTGTTTCTCCATGATCATGGGATACTAAGTGTGTGTGTGTGTGTGTGTGTGTGTCACAAATGTTCTCTCCCCGGAGAAAGACAACAGCACCTTCTGCAGCATCTAAGATGTGTCTTAATTAGTGAGTTAATTACTATTCCTTGTGGCGTTCACAAAATTTCTCCCAGACTACACTGATTATATCCCAGTAGCTCCAGCCGGAGGCCCAATGTCTACACAGCTGTTGTTGGTGTGGTAGCGTGAGCTGCAAGAGCCTGAGTGTTGCCATGGGCTTGGAGGCTCGCTACTGTTTAGATGTACCCTCTGAGGCCATTGGACACAGTGTCCGAACCAAGTCAGACATGGAGACATCCCTTTAAGAGACATTGGGGCCAAATGGGAAGCTGTAAGAAAATCCTCTCCCATGTGATGAGAACATAGAGTCCAGTGCCACAATGTGAAAGATTGCAGATATTGAACTCCAGTCCATGGGTCCCAGACGGTCACCACAACCCAGCAGCTCTCCAGAGCCAGCAGGGGAGGGGCTAGTGGAACTGTGGCCCACCAAAAGATCTGCCTACAAAGCTCCTGATTGGAGGAGACGTTCAGATGCACGAGTTACACCAGCAGGAGTCACGGGAAGTTGTCCAAACAACCGAGTGAACTCCTGGTCTGCTTCTGGACTGGCCCCTGACTCTGGCTTGGCCCTGCCCTGGCTTTGTTCCTGGCTCAGGTTTGACCTGGAGTACTGCTATCTGACTCTGATTCCGGCCTGACTCTGCGTGGCTGACTGACTCCGACTCCAGCCCTGACCCCCCACGTGACTCCTGACACTGATTCTGACTCAGCCTTTGGCATGACTCCTGGTCTCGACGCCATCCTCAGCCCTTGGTGAGATCCTGACTTTGACTCCAGCTCCGACTTTGGCTGTAGTTCCTGACTTCCAACTGCAGGTCTGAGCAGCAGGCCTGACAGCTCATGTCCTGGTCTCTACACAGATGTGTTAGAGATAGTAAAGAAACTCTCTCTTGTAAGACTGTATGAAAGGCCCACAGGCTTCATCCATGTTCCTGACCAGCCCTTTCCTTATTTATTCTAGAAACAGACAGAAACAAAGAGGCAAAAGATTGTGTCTGAATTTCAGCAACTGCGGCAGTTCCTGGAGGAACAAGAGCGACTCCTGCTGGCCCAGCTGGAGAAGCTGGATGAGGCAATTGTGAAGATACAGAATGAAAATGTCACTAAACTCTCCGAGGAGATTTCCCATCTCAGTGAGCTGATAGGTGAGATGGAGGGGAAGTGTCAGAAGCCAGCGAGTGAATTCCTGCAGGTGAGACTGAGTGAGAAACATCCCATATCCCCACACAGGGAAGGGAGGGCTCCTGAATCATAAGCGCTGGGTCCAGCAGTCGGAGATCTCAGTGTAACTCGGCGTGTGTGTTCCTGACATGTGAACGACTATTGTTCTTTACAGAGTTACAGAAACAGAGATATTAGAGATGGGGAAAACCCCATTAGCTCAGCGATTCATGGCTCTGGGTCAGGGCAGGCGTTCTTTTCCTCGTACTTGCTAAATCCCTTCCCTAGGATCCCCTGTGTGCGTCAGATGGGACTGAGATTCTTTTCTCTCTCTCTCCTCTAGGATGTCAGAAGCACCTTGAGCAGGTACGTGGCTCTCTCACTCCCCCTCACACTTCACAATGCTGGGAAAGAGCTTGGAGATGGTTAGAGCCGCATCTCCACAGGGCTCTACAGCCAAATGTGTGAGGAAAGGTCATATTTTGGATACAAATCTCTCTGATCAACTTCATCCTCAGGTTCTCACCCTTTTATAGAAGACTCTGGAATTATCCATTCATTGGGAAAGACTGACCTAAAGTATTTCCTAGCAATGTCACATCCCTGGGGGACTGGCTGCCTCAGAATTATGGGGATGGAATACGGGCCTGTCACTGCTGGGGCACTGGTCACCATTCAGTCCAGGGCAGCAGTGGTCAAGAGACTTTCCCTCCTGATATCTGTATGGAATGAGCTGGGGAAGGGGGAGTTGGTGTCTCAGTCTAGTTCCTAGTGGACCAATTTCTACAGCACTTTGCATGGGAACCTCCTGTCCCTCAGAGCATGGAGGCCAATGAGTGAATTCTCCCTGGAGACTCAATTCCCCTCTTATCTCCAGAGCTGGTCTCTCCAGGTGAGAGCTGAAGAATATTAATGGGACCTTAAGTGGGAATGTTTCACGGCCAAGGGCTGTGTTGCGCCTGCTCTGAGGGTGGGAGATGTAGATGAATTGTAGCTCCAGGCCCATTAGAGCAGCAGCTCACTAGCCAGAACTTATAATGAGTCACTACATGAAAGATAACCATGTGACATTGTTTCTGTCTAGATGTGAGAAGGGGAAGTTCCAGCAGCCAAGGGAGATTTCTCCTGAACTGGAAGTGAGACTCAGTGATTTCTCCCAGAAAACTATTGCTGTAATGGAGACTCTGAGGAAGTTCAAAGGTACCGAGAAGGGACCTAGGAGGGGGAATTGGGATGAGCCTCTGAGACTGTGGGAGGAGAATGGCTCTGGCCAATTGGTTCATAATTAGATGATGGATCTATTTAATTGTTGGGTGAGAATGCCACAGACTTGGGGTGCAAGACACTCAGGTTGATTAATTCAAATCCTTATTTCTACCAAAAGCCTGCCTTGCCATTACAATTACTGTTAAAGTAAGAAATGACTCATAGATTTTAAGGCCAGAAGGGACATCACGATCATCTAGTCTGACCTCCTGCACATTGCAGGCCTCAGAACCTTGCCACCCACTCCTGCAATTGACACCTAACCTTAGGCTGAGTTACTGAAGTCCTCAAATCATGGTTTAACAACTTCAAGATACAGAGAATGCACCATTTATTCTAGTTTAATATCTGCTAACGATCCATGCCCCATACCGCAGAGGAAAGCGAAAAAAATCCAGGCTCTCTGCCAATCTGATGTGGGGGAAAATTCCTTCCCAACCCCAAATATGGTGGTCAGTTGGACACTGAGCATTTTGGCATTTTGGCCAGACACCCGGCAAAGAATTCTCTATAACTCAGAGCCCTCCACGTCTACTGCCCCATCACCAGCCATTGGGATATTTGCTACTTGCCATCGCATATAGAAAGAAGTGCTGGCCAGTTCCCTTCTCCTGGGGCGTAGGCAGGTCACGGGGGATTTCTCCTATGAAGCTCTGACTATCCCTTACACTGTCTGACATATTATACACATCCAAATTACATATTTATTAGTTCTTTTCCAATCACCTTTGAGTGTTATTTAATATTCATATCTTATATAACTCATGCAGTTCACATGCATGAATGTTTTTATTGGCAGGACTTTGCGCTCCAAGATATTTTCATGTTATTCTCTTTTCTCATTGGTTTATTACCGCTAATTATGCATAGCTCACTTTGACTCTTTCCTCCGCATAGAGATTTTAGGACTTTGCTTACCACTCCTGGGCAGTACATTTTGAGTGTCTGTTCTCCTTAAGCATATTGTGTGGTCAAAACATCTCAACTTAGGAACACATCACTTGATATGAAGGTCACTTAAGGCAACAATTCCCTTATGTCAAGCAAACTGCTAACCAGGCCAAAGCCAAGTCAGTCAGTATAAACGCTGAGTAAACAGACCCAGCAGCTCACAATTAGAGCCAGGATTTTGCAAACTCTCAACATCCAATTAGTGTCAAAGGCACCAAAGTGGGTAAAGTTACTGTGATGCCAAAGTCTTTGTATGATCTGGGTCTAGGTTACGACAAAAGGCCGTAAGTGAATGTGACAAACCAGCTGGAATCTGAAAGGTGGGAGGGGTTGATGAGGAGAAAATAAATCTGTTTTATGGATTATGTGTCCTGGGACGGTTGTGAGGCTGCAAGGACGTTGGTTCCATTGCTGAGAGATACCTGAATGAGAGAGGAAAGAGAAGGTTTCAGATTAGTTTATTTTAAATATCTGAGTGTGTCTCTGGGACTCTCTGTCTGTTTCTCTGTCATGATGAAAACTGTCTAGGAGTTCAGAGTGGGGATGCTGTTATAAATATGAAAACCTGAAATCTCGTCTCTTTTCTCCTTTCCATCACCAGACACTCTGCCGTCTGCACTGGAAACACCAAGAGGGGAACCCCTAGGAGCACACAGACAGGGTGAGGTTGCAGGTGGAGATTGTCTTTAAATCATGAGAAAATTCTAGTGAAAACATTTTCATGAGATTGTAGCTAAAGTTACCAACCAAAGTGACTCCGACCACGACACACACAACTCCATAAATACACACATTAAACAGGGAGGAGATCCCAGGCTGAAGTCACACAAACACTCCTGACACCAACTTTGGTGCTGCGTTCATGCCCAAACAGATTAATAGAAACTGTGGCACTGAGCATCACTCGAACAAAGCTCTCTGCCCTGACACATCCCTCTGCTCTACCCTGGTGCAAGAGGTCTCTCCATCGCTTTTCTTCAACATCTGGCCTTTCCTCTGGGCAGGGCTGGGCACTCCCATTGGAGCTGTTCCCTGCTTCCTGGATTGGGGAGATGCTCTCCCTCTGACACTGCCAGCTCCTCCCTTCTCTCTGGGCTGGGGATGGGGCTCCCCCACTCAATGCCACTTCCTACTCTCTGGTGTTAAGCAGCTCTTCCCCAATGCTGCACCTTCCTCTCTGTTCCCTGGCCTGGGAGTGGAGGCTGTATTAGGGGTGGGAGTTTCCTTCTTCTGTGGGGTTTATAGCTGGTACCTGCCTCCTTTGCTCCTTTCTCACTAAAACCTTCTTGACACCTTCCTGGCTGTGTCTCTGATTCTGGGAATGGAGCAGCCCCAGCAGGGGGAGCTGAAGCCCCTGCAAGGAATTGAGAAACCAATAAAGTGGCTCCTATTAAACAGGCTGAAGAACTGTAGTGACATCTCTACTCAACTCAGGTGCCCAGGACAGAGGCAGCTCCCTGGGATCCAGGACTGTCCCAGCCAGGACGGGGCTGCTGGGGAGTGTGAGAAATGGTCCCAGCCTTCCCCAGGGCTGAATTGTGCCCCTAACGCTCTGATTATCTCTCCCCCCAGTGAATGTGACTTTGGATCCAGACACGGCTCATCCCATCCTCGTCCTGTCTGAGGATTGGAAAAGTGTGAGATGGGGAGACACGCGACAGCGACTGCAAGATAACCCTGAAAGATTTGACTCTGATCCCTGTGTGCTGGGCTGTGAGGGATTCACCTCGGGGAGACATTGCTGGGAGGTGGAGGTGGGGGATGGGCGATTCTGGGCTGTGGGGGTGGCCAGAGAGTCTGTGAGGCGGAAGGGAGAGATGAACTGTAGCCCTAAGGGGGGGATCTGGGCTGTGCGGCGGTGGTGGGGTCAGTTCCGGGCTCTCACCTCCCCTGTCACCCCCCTGCCCCTGAGCTGGGCCCCCAGCAGGATCCGGGTTTGTCTGGACTGTGACCGGGGGCAGGTGACATTTATCGATGCTGGTGATGAGGCCCCAATCTTCACTTTCCCTCCGGCCTCATTCAATACGGAGAGAATTCGACTCTGGCTACAGGTCTGGGACCCAGACACCCGGCTCAGACTGTGTCCCTGAGATGGGGTGGGGAAGATACCACTGCGAACCCTGAGAGCAGCCTCTCAGACAGCGCAGTCTCTGTGACCCTGGAGATTGCTTTGGGTCTCAGCCTTTGCACTGTCAATCCATAGAGAGCATTCATTGAGTGAGGTAGAGAAGCCAATCTCATTGTCCCACCAGGCATTGTGCAGCCTGTTTGCCACGGTCCTCTATGATCCAGGATGACTCTGGGGATTCTGGGTCAGACAGTGTCACTGAGACATGGGGGGAACAGTCCACTGGGAATGGAAAAATAGGCTTCTCTAGCCACAGTTCTCCTAGCCCCTATGACCTGGAGCACTCCCATCTACCCAGCATTAGGGCTTATCTCTATGACTCGGGAAGCCTCCTGTCTACCCAACCTTTGAGCTCTATGACCCCTGCAAGCCCCACCCCCTCCCTTACAGCCCCAGAGATGGGAGGGGGAGGTGTGAAGAACCCCTGGAGCTGCAGGAGGAGCAGGTTTCAGAGTGGTTGCCGTGTTAGTCTGTATCAGCAAAAACAACGAGGAGTCCTTGTGGCACCTTAGAGACTAACAAATGTATTTGGGCATAAGCTTTCGTGGGCTAAAACCCACTTCATCAGATGCATGGAGTGGAAAATACAGTAGGCAGGTATAAATAGACAGCACATGAAAAGATGGGAGTTGCCTTACCAAGTGGGGGGTCAGTGCTAACGAGGCCAGTTCAATCAGGGAGAAGTGGAGGGGACCTGAGGGGCAGGTGTGGGGGACTCCACCTCCTCCCCAAACACTACTTAATTTATTCTGTGTTCCTGCCACCCCGCATCTGTCTGTCCCCCAGTGCAGCTGTTCATTTGTAACCAGAACATATGGTAAAAACATCCACAAATTAGTGTTTCTATAACAAAGGCTGGTATTTCCTACCAGGACTGTCATAGGATAACGCTGGCTAACTCTGATTTCAATCTTTGCTCTTTCATACTCACCGCACCAGCTGCAGTACAAAGGGGGCCATTCACCCACTGATTAAAGTCATTAGAGGTAAAATCACTGAGCACAAGTGGACCCGGACACTCAGTTGAGACAATTTACAGCTCAGGATAAAAGTTGAAAGACTTTACTAACAAGGTAACTTCTGGACCGACTTTATCTCCTAGGGAGCCTGTAACTACTGAGGAGTTTCTAGCACATTCAGGCAGTACAGTACCTAACGAGTTCTCCCATCTCCCCCTCCCTTGGGCTTGTAAGCAGAGTCTGTGCTCTGTTCAGGAGGAATTGTGCTGTGTCGACCTGAGCACAGGACGAAGGATCCCCTGGGTGCTAGTTCCTGCTCTGCCCCTGTGGGTGAAACCCACCCACACCCTGGAGAGCCAGTGCAACCCCCACCCTGACTTAACCCCGAACCTGGGGGGAAGCAGCCTCAGTGCACCATGGATGCGGGAACCCAGCCCTGCCAACTAGTGCAAATGGGCTTCATTCAGCCTTCTAATGCTGCAGTCCTATGGGAGTGTGTTTCATAGAATATCAGGGTTGGAAGGGACTTCAGGAGATCATCTAGTCCAACCCCCTGTTCAAAGCAGGACCAATCCCCCACTAAATCATCCCAGCCAGGGCTTTGTCAAGCCTGACCTTAAAAACCTCTAAGGAAGGAGATTCCACCACCTCCCTAGGTAACCCATTCCAGTGCTTCACCATCCTCCTAGTGAAAAAATTGTTCCTAATATCCAACCTAAACCTCCCCCACTGCAACTTGAGACCATTACTCCTCATTCTGTCATCTGGTACCACTGAGAACAGTCTAGATCCATCCTCTTTGGAACCCCCTTTCAGGTAGTTGAAAGCAGCTATCAAATCCCCCCTCATTCTTCTCTTCTGCAGACTAAATAATCCCAGTTCCCTCAGCCTCTCGTCATAAATCATGTGCTCCAGCCCCCTAATCATTTTTGTTGCCCTCCGCTGGACTCTTTCCAATTTTTCCACATCCTTCTTGTTGTGTGGGGCCCAAAACTGGACACAGTACTCTAGATGAGGCCTCACCAATGCCAAATAGAGGGGAATGATCATGTCCCTCGATCTGCTGGCAATGCCCCTATTTATACCGCCCAAAATGCCGTTAGCCTTCTTGGCAACAAGGACACACTGTTGACTCATATCCAGCTTCTCATCCACTGTAACCCCTACGTCCTTTTCTGCAGAACTGCTGCCTAGTCATTCGGTCCCTAGTCTATAGCAGTGCATGGGATTCTTCCGTCCTAAGTGCAGGACTCTGCACTTCCCCTTGTTGAACCTCATCAGATTTCTTTTGGCCCAAATCTCTAATTTGTCTAGGTCCCTCTGAATCCTATCCCTACCCTCCAGCGTATCTACCACTCCTCCCAGTTTAGTGTCACCTGCAAACTTGCTGAAGGTGCAGACCACGCCATCCTCCAGATCATTAATGAAGATATTGAACAAAACCGGCCCCAGGACCGACACTTGGGGCACTCCACTTGATACCGGCTGCCAACTAGACATGGAGCCATTGATCACTACCCGCTGAGCCCGATGATCTAGCTAGCTTTCTATCCACCTTATAGTCCATTCATCCAGCCCATACTTCTTTAACTTGCTGGCAAGAATACTGTGGGAGACCGTATCAAAAGCTTTGCTGAAGTCAAGGAATAACAAACACATCCACTGCTTTCCCCTCATCCACAGAGCCAGTTATCTTGTCATAGAAGGCAATTAGGTTAGTCAGGCATGACTTGCCCTTGGTGAATCCATGCTGACTGTTCCTGATCACTTTCCTCTCCTCTAAGTGCTTCAGAATTGATTCCTTGAGGACCTGCTCCATGATTTTTGCAGGAACTGAGGTAAGGCTTATAGTTCCCTGGATCCTCCTTCTTCCCTTTTTTAAAGATGGGCACTACATTAGCCTTTTTCCAATCATCCAAGACCTCCCCCAATTGCCATGAGTTTTCAAAGATAATGGCCAATGGCTCTGCAATCACATCCGCCAACTCCTTTAGCACTCTTGGTTGCGGTGTGTGAAAGTAGAATGAATTATATTGTAAAAGTAGAATGGATTAAAGAAATGCTGTATGTTCCTTTAAGCAGGAATGAGGAATGTTGAGATACAGGTGACGGGAAGAGAAACAGTAAGGTATTGAACAATGGGTCCACTTAAGCTGATGGTGGGACATTAACAGAAGATTGGTAAGAGTTAATAAGGAAATAAGATATGTGTGTCTAGCCCCAAGTAAACTTATCAGTTCTGCTCCCTTTGTCATCTTGTTAAGTTCGCGCCCTTTTTATCTGTATAAATAAGATAGTTTGGGCCTTGCATGGCACTCACATTATCTGGGTGTATTAGCAGAGCGCTTTTGCTAATAAACAGAGTGGTCTGACAAATTGTGAGTCCTGAGGCCTTGGCTACACTCGGGAATTCACAGCGCTGTGAAGCACGAGTGTAGTCGCGCCACCAGCTCTCCGAGGGGAGTAGCTTGCAGCGCTGCGAGCGAGCGTGCAGCGCTGCAGGCTTTGATTACACTGGCGCTTTACAGCGCTGCACTCGCTGCGCTGGGGGGGGCATTTTCACACCCCTGAGCACAGCAAGTTGCAGCGCTGTACAGCACCAGTGTAGCCAAGACCTGAGTCTGACTTTGACAGGTGCATCCGGCTCCATGGACTTGTGCTTGTCCGGCTTTTCTAAATAGCCCTGAACCACTTCTTTCTCCACAGAGGGCTGGTCACCTCCTCCCCATGCTGTGCTGCTCAGTGCAGCAGTCTGGGAGCTGACCTTGTTCATGAAGACAGAGGCAAAAAAAGCATTGAGTACATTAGCTTTTTCCACATCCTCTGTCACTAGGTTGCCTCCCTTCACCTTCCTAACCCCCTGTGCTTTATCTGCAGAGAACCCAGTTGCTGGACTGAAGTGAATTTCACTGTGGGTGACTGACTAAGGGTATGTCTACACTACGAGAGTAGTTCGATTTTAGTTAAATCGAATATGTGCAATCGATATTAGAAAGTCGAACGTGTGTGTCTACACTAAGGACAGTAATTCGACTTTGTCAGTCCACACTACCAGGGAAAGCGTCGACATTGGAAGCAGTGCACTGTGGGCAGCTATCCCACAGTTCCCGCAGTCCCCGCTGCCCATTGGAATTCTGGGTCGAGCCCCCAATGCCTTCTGGGTAAAAAAATGTCTCGAGAGTGCTTTTGGGTAACTGTCGTCATCCGTCAGTCACTACCGCCCTCCCTCCCTCCCTGAAAGCGCCGGCGGGAAATCAGTTCGCGCACTTTTTGATCAGTGACAGCGCGGACGCCACAGCACTACGATCATGGATCCCGCTGCGACCATCGCTGCAGTTGTGGCCGTTCTCAACGCCTCGCACCTTATCATACACCTTTCCCAGAGGCAGATGCAGAGAAATCAGGCGAGGAGGCTACGGCACCGCCGTGAGGGCCTGAAGTCGGAGAGTAGCACAGAGCTGTCAGAAACCACGAGCCCCAGCGCCCAGGACATCACTGTGGCAATGGGGCATGTGGATTTTGTTGAACGGCGATTCTGGGCCCGGGAAACAAGCATGGACTGGTGGGACCGCATAGTGCTTCAGGTCTGGGATGAATCCCAGTGGCTGCGAAACTTTCGCATGCGGAAGGGGACTTTCCTGGAACTTTGTGAGTTGCTGTCCCCTGCCCTGAAGCGCAAGGACACCCGGATGCGAGCAGCCCTGACTGTCCAGAAGCGAGTGGCCATAGCCCTCTGGAAGCTTGCAACGCCGGACAGCTACCGGTCAGTCGCGAACCACTTTGGCGTGGGCAAATCTACCGTGGGGGTTGTTGTCATGCAAGTAGCCAAGGCAATCGTCAAGGTACTGCTGTCAAAGGTAGTGACCCTGGGAAACGCGCAGGCCATCATAGATGGCTTCGCTGCGATGGGATTCCCAAACTGCGGTGGGGCTATAGATGGGACTCACATCCCTATCCTGGGACCGGGCCACCAGGCCAGCCAGTACATCAATAGAAAGGGCTA